CACTCCTTCTTAGCAAAAAAAAACAGGAAAAATGGCTCACAAAGAAGGGTGATCCGTAAATGTCAAAGTTGCCACCATATTTGATAGTGATCTTATATTCGCCGGGAACGGTTGGTATGTAGGCAAATTCGTATCCATCTTCACATTCCTCGCAGGTCACCTGGACCTTTGACGGCCCGTCAATCAAGACGCTGAGAACTCCACTGCCGGCGTTGGCCGTATTGACGAAGAACTTGTTTTTGTTGCCTAGAGTGAGTGAAAAAGGTGGTGCATGAATGGTTTGCAAGCTTTATATTCGGGTACCATAACTGAATTCTTAGATACACACGCAGAAAAAATCAACAATAAAGAGAGGATCCTGATTTTCCTGTATGTTGAAGATATTTTATTTTAAGTGAGTACGTCCCACGCTAGCTGGACGCGTATGTTGCTTCTAAGCCAAAACACTTATTTTGTTCCAACCCTGCGCACCAATCGACAATATGCATACCATTTGAAACATCACTGGGGGATGTTGGTTAGGACAGGGTATCTAACAAAGTTTTTAAAAATACATGATAACGTTGAGTAAATAAATCGTACTAAAACATACATGGTATACCTATCAAATTTTTCATATTATTCCAAACTCCATTCTCCGAAATACGTTAAATATGGAAACAGACCTGGATGAGGGGTCACGGTTTGTTGGCGGACGTAGTACATAGATTACGGATATATTCCAGCGAAGGGTTTAAACAGTCTTCAGAATATACCCATCTTCAAACAGACGATTCACATATATTCTAACAAATTATTTACAAACAAAATAAAATATTCAGATCAATGTCATTCCGGAAGAATACTGTTTTAAATGAACTTGTTAAGCCGGAGATAATGTATGCGATATACAAAGCAACTATCCGATTGATCATGGCTGATGATTTACAAGCTGCTCCGTGGAAATACCGCGTGCTACTGGGTGCTGTGATCGGCGGTTATATTCCGAAATTGATGTTACTAAGCCCTACTTAAGTAATATGTTTATCTAAACTCGAATCTAATAGTTTCAGTTAAAATTGCGATAGATTCAGGGTATATCGTCGGAGGTCTAGCCCAACTCAGATGGAGAGGAGAATGCGCAAATACTGATCTAATCACGCGGGTGTTCTGCAAACATTGTAACTTTGTAAGTTAGACTCCCATTCCACAATCACATTGCAATTTCACTTAGTAGGTGGTATTCGTCAGGCTCCAGTAGGAAGGCGCTTTCCAATAGACATTTCGCTTGTGCCAAGTTTAGCACTTAGCAAGGTACTCGTTTTTAATTGGATTACATCACAATGCTAGGGAATAGGACCATGGTCGAATGATGCGATTTATCTAAATAAAGGTACTTTCGTGCCTGAATTTGCAAGAAATTGGGAGAACGTAAGTCCAGAAGCCACAGCCACAGTACTCCATTAGTATTTCCAGAACGGGATATGACTAAAGCAGTTCTCTCGAAGTGCATTTAGTGTTAAAAGAAACCATAGGCAGGAGAACACGCAACAATAATTCAGCGTACCAACTGTTCCATGGTGCAGTCCTTCTCCGACAGCGAAAACTGAGCTAGGATCAGCCATCTGACC